AAGAGAAAACTAAAGACCAATTTAGAGTCAAGGAATCAATCAGAGAGAGGTCAAGATTAAAAGGAATTAGCTTTTTTTATTCCATTTCAGTGTTTGCAGCAGTCCCCAAACTTTTTGGCACCAGGGACCAGTTTCATGGAAGACAATTTTTCCACAGACCAAGGGGTGGGGTGGAGGGTGGGGGAATGTCATGGATGGTGGTGTAGCAGTGTGGAACTCAGGCAGTGATATGCAACCTGTTTCCTAACAGGCCACGGACCAGTACTGGGGTTCAATCCAGGGGTTGGGGATCACAGTTTTAGGGCATAATAAAAAGTAAAGTTTTAGCATATTGGAATTGGTTTCAAGGTAATAGAAATTGTCATATGACAAACAGAATAATCAAATATGTGTCGCTGCTCCATTATCTTGCAACGTATTCTCACTTTTTTTTTTTTTAGTTTTTTTAAATTTCAGAATATTACAAGAGTACAAATGTTTAGGTTATATATATTGCCTTTGCACCACCCAAGTCTTTAGAATCTATATAGAACTCAGGAAAATCAGCAAGAAAAAATCAAACAACCCCATTAATAAGTGGGCAAATTACATGAACAGAAACTTTTCAAAAGAAGATAGACATATGGCCAAGAAACATATGAAAAATATTCTTACTTCTTCATGCTCTACACCTCCCTGTCAGACAGAGAAAGAAGTTGACTCTGAGGAAAGAAATCACAGAGGATACAAACAAATGGGAAAACATATCGTGCTCATGGAAAGACAGAAGCAACATTGTTAAAATGTCCATACTACCCAAAGTGATTTACAAATTCAATGCAATCCCCATCAAACTACCAAATTCATACTTCGCAGATCTAGAAAAAATAATTCTGTGCTTCATTTGGAACCAGAAAAAGCCTGAATAGCCAAAGCAATCTTAAGCAAAAAGAACAAATCTGGAGGCATCACATTACCAGATTTCAAACTATACTACAAGGCTATATTAACCAAAACATCATGGTATTGGTACAAAAATAGAGACATGGACCAATGGGATAGAGTAAAGAACTCAGATACACAACCGTCTACCTACAGTTGACAAAGCAGACAACAACGTACACTGGGGAAAAGAAGCCCTAGTCAGTAAATGGTGCTGGGAAAATTGGATAGCCACATGAGGAAGAATGAAACAGGACCCCTACCTCCCACCACTCACAAAAATTAATTCAAGATGGATAAAAGACTTAGATCTAAGGCATGAAACCATAAGAATTCTAGAGGAAAATGCAGAAAAACTCTTCTAGATATCAGCCGAAGCAAAGAATTTATGACTAAGACTCCAATGACAACCATGACAGCAACAAAAATAAATAAATGGGATTTGATTAAACTAAAAAGCTTCTGCACAGCTAAGGAAACAATCAAAAGATCAAATAGACAACCTATAGAATGGGAGAAAATATTTGTAAACTACACATACAATAATGGGCTTATAACCAGAATTTACAAAGAACTCAAGCAAATCAGCAAGAAAAAAACAAACAGTCCTATTAAAAAGTGAGCAAAAGATATGAACAGAAGCTTCTCAAAAGAGGAAAGACAAATGGCCAATAAACATATGAAAAAATGCTCAATGTCACTAATCATCAGGGAAATCCAAATTAAAACCAAAATGAGATATAATCTTACCCCAGTCAGAATGGCTTTTACTAAAAAGTCCAAAAACAGTAAGTGCTGGCATGGATGCAGAGAGAGAGAAACACTTATACACTGTTGGTGAGACTGCAAATTAGTACAACTTCTATGGAAACCAGTACGAAGATTCCTCAGAGTACTAAAAGTAGACATACCATTCCATCCAGCAATCCCACTGTTGGGTATTTACCCAAAGGAAAAGAAGATTTTTCTTCAAAAAGATACTTGCACTAGAATGTTTATTGCAGTACAATTCACAATTGCAAAGATGTGGAATCAACCCAAGTGCCCATCAATTCATGAGTGAATTAATAAAATGTGGTATATGTATACCATGGAGTACTACTCAGCCACAAAAAAAAGATGGATTAATACCTTTTGGGACAATCTGGATGGAACTGGAGACCATTATGCTAAGTGAAGTATCTCAAGAATGGAAGAACAAACACCACGTGTACCCACTGTTAACTTGGAACTAACTGATGAGCACACATGTGCACGGAGGGAAGTAAAACTCAGTGGAAATCATCGGGGGGTGGGGAAGAGGGAAGGGGAAAAAAACCTACTGAATGGGTACTATGAACACTATTTGGGTGACAGGCACACCTATAGCCAGGACTCAAGCATTACAAAAGCAATACATGTAACTTAAAACATTTGTATCCCCTGAATATTTTGAAATAATAAAAAAAAGAAGTTGACTTGGGGAGCCTTCAAGATACTGATGAACTAGTATTTTTGTGCTAAGTACTTTCAAAGGCATTAGCTCATTTCATGTTCTATACAGCTCTTTAGGATCAGAGTCATTACCTTATTTTACAGATAAGGAAATAAAATCTCAGCCCGGTTAAGAATTAAAACTTGTAGGCTATAGAGCTGAGATTTGAGTCCAAAAATGTCTGAAAACAAATAAACAAAAAAAAAACCCCATGCTTTTGCCTTTACAGTATCTTTCTCCAGGTAATCAAGGGGAAGTGCAGAGAAAAAGAGCAATGCATGGGTATGTGGCATTGTGGGGACATTATCATTTGAAGAAAAGAAGAAAAAGGTGGGCTTGATGGTTGAGTCACAATATAGTATAGTCACGTATAAAAACTATTTCTAAAGTCCTTTGTCCATATTTTAATAAGAAGTCAAAAGTGTGTTCTTCAGATAAATGTCCGTTGCAGAACTAAGAAGACTGAAAGAAGAAAAAACGCACTGTGAATTGAAATGAGGAAAGGCAGGTCTCTTATTGATTCTTCACTCTTGGAATCTCAATAGCTATCAGATGGAACTTGATGACTGCCAACAAATAAACAACACTTTCCCCCATTCTAGGCTATTAAATTGCCCAAAGCCACCAAATACAGATTAGTCTGAAATGCACTTGTTGTTCTTACTGGAGGTGGTTACGAAAATCAGCTTTAGATACAAGAATTCTTTTTCTTTCTTTCCTTCAGGCTGCTAACGGATGCACAGAATGAAGCTTACTTTAAAAGCTGGTATCAGAAGTTGCTAGCTGCTCTCCAATTCTGTGTAGGAAAAGCCTTGAGAGATGAGTTTTCCAAAGAGAGGAAACTTATCAAAATTCTGGGAGATATTGGGGAAAAAGTCAAGTCTGCCAGTGACCATCAAAGACAGGTTTGTTGAGAAACTAATCTTCGGGTAGTAACATTTTTTTCAACTTTGGTTTAAATTAAGTTTTAATTTCATTACTGAGAACGCAAATTCCTCGACTACTTTAAGACACTTAAATCAATTACTTCTGTCAAGTTTTTTTTTTTTTTCCATATACTATCCCAAAGTTAATGATAATGTCTCTCGCCAGGACATGGATGTTTTGATCTAAATAGCCATGTAGCACACAGAGGAACCTGACAAGAGGCGACCAACTTAAAGGCAGTTGGACTAAAAAAGCCTAAGAAAGTAATTCC